GGGTCTAGGCCGAAACGTCAGCCTTTCTGCTCCTATGATGCTGCTTGGCCTGCTGTGTTCATCCAGCTCTGCACCTTATAAAATACTTCATGCAGGTATCATCCTTTCCTTCTCGATTTTGTGAAACAGTAATTTTATATTGCATTTATCTTTGCAATTATACTTTACATGATGTTATTCAAAAAGATACTTGAAATATTTGGCATCTAAAACTAACTTTTTAAAATCGAGTGCCATAGAGTTAGAGGCCTGCACTGGACAGAGTAAATGGGATGAAACTGATACTACTCATGAAAGGGTCTAGAGCAAAGTTGCACAGACTGAAAGTTATTGGGAAAAGAAGCAAAGGCAATATCATAAAGTTATATACTTTTCATGCAGCAAGTTGTTAGAGTGTGGAAGGAAACACAGCCCATTACGTCTGCCCCAGCTCTGTGACTTATTAAATCACTTAATGCAATTCTCCTATCTTCTCTCCATAATCCTGCATGTTGTTCTTTTCACATAACAGTCTGAATCCCTTCTTGTATCCTTCAATTGAATCTGCCTTCACCGTGCTCTCAGATGCCTTAACCACTCGCTGCATGAAAACCTCTTTTCTCATATCACCCTTGCTTCTTTTGCTAATTAATCCCATGAAGTTAGTGATATTTACCCAAGTCCAAAAGTTGAAGAGGCACCATTAAAATGTTTTGGTAAAAAACAATGTCTGCATTCTAGCATGAATTCATCTTGTGGTTTCTTAGAATGTGAATAATTTCTTCTTCAAATAAAACAATATGCAGTATTTCGTAAATTTTTATAGGCCCTGGCCTGAAAAATCCAGAGGAGAGAACAATGGAATACCTGGAAGAAGTAGCAATTGTTTGTGCTAGAGGACTAGTAAATAAGCAGATCTCCATTCAAAAGAAGAAAACACTTGTTGACAGTAAGTATTTGCAACTGCAAAGCAGTACTTTTTTTTCTGTACCATTGTTTTAGTTACTATTAATGTTGATTTTTAACTATTCTTTCATGCTAAGTTTCACAAGCTCCTATAAAATTTGTCTGGTTTGCAAAATGGGAGCTTCAGCATTTAATTTGGAATCCTTGCGGTCTAGTATTCAAGGTCTTATTACCACGATGCTGTAGTCTGACTTTTTTAAATGATGCAAAACCTCCCATTTATTGGCAACTAAAATTAAGCCCTACTTTGCACTTTCCCATGAAAACTAGTTTCTCAAAAAAACTAAAAGGAAACCATTTTAATACAGCAAATTATTTTACAATAAAGAATTTCTTCTGTTGAAGATTTATTCCTGTTTGCAGTGCTGAAGACTGACAATGCATCTTTCCAGCGGCTAGCTGAACTATAAAGTTGAAAAATATTTGAGACCTAACTCCTCTGCTGAGTTTAAAATAAAATGCAGTTAGTCTGACAATAGGAAATCTGTCTGAGCCACTGGGTTAGAAATGAAATGGAATTAACCAGAGTCCCTCTTAATTCCAGATATTTATTGAATTCAAATTCCACTATTTGCTATGGCGGGATTCGAACCCGGGTCCCTGGGTTAACAGTTCAGTGAACATACCATCAGGCCATTGCCTCCCCAATGACAGGGCGAATCAAGTCGATAGAAACAGTCTTGAAGAGGAGTTCGTAGAACTCATCTGTAACTTTCTTGAACAGCATGTTATCGAACTTACAAGCAACGTGCAATCTTAGATCTGCCTGTGTAATGAGACAGGTAAAATTAATGATCTCATAGTTAGGGATCCTCTCAGAAAGAGTGATCACAGTATGATTGATTGAATTTCGGCTACAAATGGAGGGTGAAATAGTATCATCTAAAACCAGGGTTTTATGCTTAAACAAGGGAGACTACAATGGGATGAGGAAGGAGTTAGCTAAGCTAGACTGGAAACATAAGTTGTACGGTGGAACAGTTGAGGAACAGTGGAAGGCTTTCAAAGAGATTTTTCACAGTGCTCAATAAAAGTATATTCCGGTCAAAAACAAGGATAGCAAGGATAGGAAGAGCCAGCCTTGGGTAACTAAGGAAATAAAGGAAGGCATCCAATTAAAGGCTCAGGCTTACTAAGTAACCAAGAGTAGTGGGAAACATGAAGATTGGGAAAACTTTAAAAAGCAACAAAGAACCATGAGGCAAGAAATAAAGAAAGGGAAGATAGATTATGAATGCAACTAGCACAGAATATAAAAACAGATAGGAAAAATTTTTATAAATATATAAAATGGAAAAGGCTGGCTAAAGTGGATGTAGGTCGCTTAGAGGATGAGAATTAATAATTGGGTAATGCTGAAATGGCTGAGGCCTTTTTTGTCAGTCTTCACGCTGGAAGATATGTCTAACATGCCAAAGAATGATGTTAAGGATATGAGAGAGTTTTCTGAAGAAGGGTCTAGGCCTGAAACGTCAGCTTTCCTGCTCCTGTGATGCTGCTTGGCCTGCTGTGTTCATCCAGCTCTACACCTTGTTATCTCTATGTTAAGGATATGATGGGAGATGAGGACTTTGATTCAATTGTTATCACTAAAGGGTAGTGCTGAGCAAACTAGAGGGTCTAAAGGTAGATAAGTTCCCTGGTCCTGATGGAATGCATCCCAAGGTGCTGAAAGAAATGGAGGAAGTTATAGTAGATGCGTTAGTGGTAATTTACCAAAATTCACTGGACTCTGGGCATGTCCCAGTGGACTAGAACACAGCAAATATCATGCTGCAGTTTAAAAAAAGGATGTAGGCAAAAGGCAGATAACTACAGGCCAATTATGAACTTACAGCATGTTACTGTTTTCAGCTTGTATGGAGCGCCAGGTTATGGCAGTCTGGTAGTTCTGTAGAGCAGATTTCAAGTCCAGTTTTCATTCTTAATTCTTTTCTATAATAATTTTCTTATTCTAACATCAATATTTCTAGCTAATAGTTCTTTCTTCTGCACCTTTTGGTTGTGGCCCTAGATCAAGGCTGCCCCATGAGACAAAAAACCCTCTTAACGTCTACCCTATTAAGCTCTCTTGGAATCTTATGTATTCCATTACAATGATCTCTCATTCTACTAAACTGCAGCATGTATTGGTCCATCATTTCCTCATAAGACAACTCCTTCATCCCAGGAATTAATCGCATTAACTTTTGCTGAACTGCTTTCAATGTATGTATATTCCTTCTTAAGCAAGGAGACCAGAACTGTACAGTCTTCAAAGTGCAGTCTCACCAATGCCTGTACAATTTTGGCTAAATTTCCCTCATTTTATACTACATTCCCCTTGCAATTAAGGCCAATGTTCCATTTGCCTTCCTAATTAGTTGCTGTACCTGCATGCTAATTCCTTGTTCAAGTATAAGAACAGCCAATCCTTTTACTGCAGAATTCTCCAAACAGTGGCAGGATTCTTGGCAGTGTGGAGGAACGGAGGGATCTTGGGGTCCACGTCCAAAAATCCCTCAAAGTTGCTACCCAAGTTGATAGGGTTGTAAAGAAGGTGTATGGTGTGTTGGTTTTCATTGGCAGAGGAATTGGGTTTAAGAGTCGCAAGATTCGGCTGCAGCTCTATAAAACCCTGGTTAGACCACACTTGGAATATTGTGTTCAGTTCTGGTCGCCTCATTATAGGAAGGATGTAGAAGCTTTAGAGAGGATGCAGAGGAGATTTACAAGGATGCTGCCTGGACTGGAGGGCACGTCTTATGAGGAAAGGTTGAGGGAGCTAGGGCTTTTCTCATTGGAGCAAAGAAGGATGAGAGGTGACTTGATAGAGGTGTACAAGATGATGAGAGGCATAGAAAGAGTGGGTAGCCAGAGACTTTTTCCCAGGGTAGAAATGACTATTACGAGGGGGCATAATTTTAAGGTGATTGGAGGAAGGTAGAGGTGAGATGTCAGAGGTAGGTTCTTTGCACAGAGAGCGGTGGGTGCGTGGAATGCGCTGCTGGCAGTGTTAGTGCAGTCAGATACATGAGGGACATTTAAGTGACTCTTGGATAGGCACTTGGATGATAGTAAAATGTAGAGTATGCAGGGTAGTTTGCCCTTAGAGTAGGATAATAGGTCAGCACAACATCATGGGCTGAAGGGCCTGTACTGTGCTATTCTGTTCTATGTTCTATTTCCCCATTGAAATTATGTTTTGCTTTGTAATTAACCAAGTCAAAGTGAACAACCCCACATTATCCGACATTGTACTCCATCTGCTAATTCTGTTTCCACTCACTAACTCTATCTATATCTCTTTGCAAATTCTGTCCTCCTTACAACTTACTTTCTAACCTATCTTTGGTCACTAGCAAGTTTGTCTACAATATTGTCCATCTGCTCCTGTGGCACAGCGGTAATATCCCTTCCACTGGGCCAGGCAACTCGGGTTCAAGTCCCACCTGACTCAGAACTGTCTTTGGGCGGCATGGTGACTCAGTGGTTAGCACTGCTGCATCACAGCAACAGGGGCCCGGGTTCGACTCCACCCTCGGGTGACTGTCTGTGTGGAGTTTGCCCATTCTCCCCGTGTCTGCATAGGTTTCCTCCCACAGTTCAAAGATGTGCAGGCTAGGTGGATTAGCCATGCTAAATTGCCCATAGCGTTCATAGTGTAGATTAGGTGGGTTATAGGGGGATGAGTCTGGGTGGGATGCTTTGAGAGTCGGTTTGGACTTGTTGGGCTGAAGGTCCTGTTCCCACACCATAGGGATTCTAAGTTATTAATATAGATCACAAGTGGCTGTAGTGCCAGCAATCTATTAAACTCGATTAGATAGAGTTTGCCACACTGAAAATGGTCCATTTATTCCAACTTTGCTTCTTGTTAGCTAGTCAATCCTCCATCTATGCTATTGTCCCTCAACAGCATAAGCTCTAATGTGTATACTAATGTTTTAAGTGACACTGTATCTAATATCATCTGCAAATCCAAATGCACTATTTTCATTGGTTTCCCTTTGTCCATCCTGCTTATTACATCCTCAAAGTATCCTAACACATTTGTTAAACATAATTTCCTTTTTACAAAATCATGTTGACTCTGCCAGAAATTGCTGGAGAAATTCAGCAAATCTGGCAACATCTGTCAAGAGAAAGCAGAGATAACATTTCAGGTTTGGTGAACTCTGCTTTCTCTCCGCAAATACTTCCAGTCTACTGAATTTCTCCAGCAGTTGCTGCAATTTTTTTTTTTAGATTTTCAGCATCTGCAGTTCTTTGTTCTTTAGTGTTTGACTCTCCCTGATTGTATTATGATTTGCTCAATGCCATGGTACTATTTCCTTCAAATGGATTCTAGCATTTTGCCAATGTCAATTAGGCTAATTGGCTCAGAGTTCCTATCTGTCTGTTTTCCTCCTTTCTTGAATAGTGCTGTCATATTTGCAGTTTTCCAACCCTGTGGAACCTTTTCAGAATCTAGAAAATGTTGGGCGATTAAAGCCAATGCATCTACTACCTCCACAGCCACTTCTTTCAAGGACCGAGGATACCAGCTATCAGATCCAGATTTCACAATTTGGCAAATGTGTATGAATGGTTTGTGAAGCCACATGGAAGAGATTGGTGAGGTGATAATGGTTGTCAGAGGCAGTCTGCTGGGCACAGTGCTGCCTAAGCAGGACAAGCTGCTCCAACCTGTCCCAGTGAAACATTTTTTTTTATATCAAATGCAACAGCTTTTCAATGTTTTATTAATTGTGCTCAGTAATTATTGTTTTGCCATACAAAACCAATTCCATTCATATTCACCAATCCCATGTTGTTCCATCCTTCCCATGCCACCCCTCTTGTGACATCTCCATGTCATTTCCAAACCCTCTTGCCACCTGTTCCTAACCTGTATCTGAAAGTCTTCATAAAGCTGGGCTTCTCTGCAACAATCCTTCCAAACCACTTTGTGGGAATTGTTCATGTGGTGGCAGAATCTTCTTCATTTGGATCCAAGTCCTTCTAACTCCCTACCTAAATCACTGTCTCACCTTCACCCTTTTTCTCTCCCTTTTTGAAAACTTCCTCAAATATCCCTTACCCCTGTTTAAATTCTGCTGCTTCATCTATTCTTTTCTAATGCACTATATGATATTTTTAAATTACTATATAAATACAAATTATAGACTACCATGAGGATTGTATCCTGATTAGTAAAAGGGATTTTTTTCCCTAAGCTTTGTTTTATTTGTTGCAGCTGTGCAGTCGTGGGCATTTAAGTTTCCTGTAATCAGGGAGCAAGTTTATAAAATGGTAAGAAAAAAGGTGATGGCGCAGACCAAAGGACTTTATCCTGCCCCACTGAAGATCATTGAGGTAGGTTTAGAACAATATTTCTTGAGATTGATTAAGCTTGGACGAGTAAATTGGTATGAAATTCAAATTAGTGATTTAATATATTCCTTCATTTAAGGTTGTGAAAACTGGATTAGAGCAGGGATCGGATGCCGGTTATCTAGTTGAATCGCAGGTAAGGTAAAAATATATTGCACGTATAAAATCATGAGATTCAAGAAAAGTTATTGAGAGATTGGAATTAAGTTATGCCAAGAATACAGCTGTGATTCACACTGCAAATGTGATGTGGAAGTGTTATGAAAATTGAAGGAGATTTCAAAACCAATGCGAGGATACTCAATGCCAAATATATCTGTGCCTGACCAAAACTTGTAAAAACCAAAAGAACTGCGGATACTGTAAATCAGGAACAAAAACAAAGTTGCTGGAAAAGCTCAGCAGGTCTGGCAGCATCTGTGAGGGAAAAAACAGTGTTAACGTTTTGGGTCCGGTGACTCTTCCTCAGAACAAAACTGTATCTGCATCTTCTGTCAGTAAGGCTTGGCAAGGATTCTCATATTATTCCTCCATTCTTACTCAATATTTTGCAATATAGCAATGTGTCAAATATTGCATCTGTTTCAGGAATGGGTATTTTCTATTGTATGTGACTTAAAAGTTTAATCCTTATTACACATTCATGACTTACTTTGTTTCATAGGTTTAACATCTTGCTTTAATTCAGTGACTGTAGCAAATATGCTACAAGAGATCTAAGTCTTATAACAAGTGACTGATAGTTTATTTCGAACATCTTTATTTGACTCATTGTGACTATCTTAGTCGCAGTATTGTATAAACTTGATGCATATAGTTGCAGGTAGTTACTGGAACAAAATAGGCCTTTATCATAAGGAAGGTAAAGTCGCCACAATCCAACAGTGGTGAGAACCTGAGGGGTCACCATGCCTCAGGCTGGACCTTCATGGTATGGTTATCGTGTAGAAGGTTATGATATGTACGGTTGAAGTTGTTAATAACCTGTAATAGAAATTCATGATATGGCTGTTAAATATTTCGATCAGGACCTTGGGAATGTCTTGCATTTTCTTGTCTAGAAATTTGGAGAACTGGCGATGACAAATGAATCAAAAGCACTAACTGGACTTTATCACGGTCAAGTAGCCTGCAAGAAGAACAAATTTGGAAAACCACAGAAAGAAACTGAGTATGTATGTTTCTTAAATTACATGGATATCTAGTGTTCTGTTCTTCTAAACTTTTCAGGCATATTCAAAGGTTTCCATTTCTTATGAGATTTTTGACATGTTTTACTGTTTAGTTTATTCAGTCAGAAATGTGGACTTTACTGGTTAGGCCACTATTTGTGGCCCACCCCTCGTTGCCTTTGAGAAGTTGGTAGTGAACTGCTGCCTTGAACCACTGCTGTCTATTTGGTGTACGTGCACAAACACACAATGCTGTTAGGAAAGGAGTTCCAGAATTTTGACCCAGAGATACTGAAGGAAGGATGACATATTTCAAAGTCAGGATAGTGTGCAGCATGAGAGAAATTTGCAGCTCACAGTGTTCCCTGTATCTGCTGTCCTTATCCTTCTTGGTGGTAGTGGTTCTGGGTTTGGAGCTGCTTTCTAAGGATTCTTGGTGATCCTTTGCATCTTGTAGATGATATGCATTGATGATGCAAAGAGTGGATGTTTGAATATGGCACCAATCAAATGGACTGCTTTGGCCTGGATAGTATTGAGCTGCTTGAAGGTTGTTTGAGCTGTACTCACCCTGGTAAGTGGGGACTATATCATCACACTCCTGACTTGTACCTTGTAGGTAGCATACAGGCTCTTAGGATTGAGGAAATGAGTTACTCACTGCAGGATTCCTAGACTCTGACCTGCTCGTATAACCACAGTGTTTATATTGTTGCTAAGTCAGTTTCTGATCAGTGGTAATCCCCAACGTATTGACAGTGGGGATTCAGCGATGATATTGCCTTTGAATGTCAAGGAGGGGGCTTTTCTCTTGTTGAAGTTGGTCATTGCCTGTTACATGTGTGACATGGTTATTTTCTGTTTAGCAAGCCTGAATATTGTTGAGGTCTTACTGCATTTGGACATGAATTGTTTCAGTATATGACAAGTTGAAATGGTGCTGAACATTGTGTAATCATCGGTGAATGTCTCACTTCTGACCTTAGATTTGAGGGAAGTCATTGGTGAAGCATCTGCAGATGGTTGGGTCCAGGACTGTACCCTGAGGAACTCTTGCAGTGATGTCCTGGAGGTGAGATGACTGACCTCGAACAACTGCAACCATCTTCTGGTGGTTGGTTGGCTCACCGAGCTAGTTCGTTGTTCCGCAGACGTTTCATTACCCTACTGGGTAACATCAAAGTGCAGCATTTGATGAAGCGCTGTTGTTTTCCCGCCTGTTATTTAAACTCTGG